TGGGGTGGGAGACGGTGTCAAAGGCCTTGCTGAAGTCCAGAAAGACTATGTCCACGGCGACACCTGCATCCAAGCTTTTGTGACCTGATCATAAAAGGCAATCAGGTTGGTCTGACATGACCTGCCCCTAATGAAACCGTGCTGGTTGCACTTGAGCATCATCCCTTAAGCCAGCCCATCACACATGTGCTCCTTGATGATCTTCTCAAAGAGTTTCTCTAGGATTGAGGTAAGACTGACGGGCCTATAGTTGCCCTGGTCCTCCCTCCTCCCTTTTTTAAAGATAGGGACCACATTGGCTATCTTCCAATCATCTGGCACCTGGCCCGAGCACCACGAGTGCTCGTAAAGCCGTGTCAAGGTGTAAAGGTATGTCTATGTCTGCTCCAATCACCCCTTCCAGTTACAGTGCACACATTTTCTAGGTAGTTCATAAATATTGCCAGGCCTTTGGGGAGTTTATCCTAAGGTATCAACTCTTGGAATGAAGTGAGGGTGTATATTTCAGTTGTCATTAAAAGGAAAAAACAGGTAACGTTCCAACCCTCATAGCTGCGAAGAAATAGTAACCTAGGTGTTCCCTAAAGGCCAGAGAGCTAGGAAAAGAACCCAAACATAATATTATCTCTGTTTCTTTTTTTTTTTTCTTTTCTAAGGCCACCTTATGCTTTTTGAGCCCTTAGGATTGGTAGAATGGCTGATCCTTTTTCCATATGGTTGAATTTCACCCTTTGGGAGTACTGTAACTATTTATGTGGTGTCTAGAATGTATTTCCTGATTAGTGCACATTGTCAATACTGGGAAATGGAATCAGTATTGATAACTGGGTATCCTTGTGTTGTGAAGAGCAGTAGCTGATAAGACATTCTGGCCTGTGCTTCCTGGTGTTCAAGGATCACAGTAAAAATGTCTTCCAACTGCCCGCTGTGGTGCTGCTGCAGGACCTGTGACTTTCATTTCTACATCAGCTTCAGGAACCTGAATCCTTCAGGACAACAGAAGATTCTCCCTTTTCATTCTTCCTCTGTCCTGGTCCCAAGTTGTAAGAAGCTGGTGATATTTATGAATAATCAGAGCTGTATAATCACTGTCCTGTCCACCATTAATAAGCCTCTCTGTTGTTAAGCTTGGGCACAACCACCCTTCTGCATGAATGACAGTTTCTAGCTAGAATGATCATTTTGAATTTAACAATGAACTTGAAGACAAGATTAATCTTTAGGGCCGTATTTTTAGAATTGTATCTAAACAAATGAGTAATTAGACACTTAATCCACAGTTAGCACGAGTGCTCTCATGCAGTAAAAGGGGACTTCAGACAGCCAATGCACCATTTTATTCTGGAATCTCTTATGTGGCATGATGCCACAAGTTCAGGTTTAAAAATATCCTGGCATATCATGATCCAAGGAGCATGAGACTCTCACTACATCGTAAGACTCTCTGACAGTTTTAAAATTCTTGCTTTAAACGACTTTCATTGCTTATGACTCAGTGATTTGCTTGTTTATTTTTTCTATTCCAAAGCAAACTATGCATTAAGAGGTCCAATGCATCACTTCAGGGATTCAATATATTCAAAAACATGCTAGCATTAAAAAAATAACATGGAAAAATACTTCTAATACTTAATTATTTTTTATGCATTATAATATATTTCCTTTAAAAAGCAGTAGACAAAAATAACCTAAACCAGACCTAGGAAGCATAAGAAAGTGTCCCTAAGATCTAGTAAGGCACAGGTTGCCTTTCAATCAGCAGGAGCTGTCATTTTCCACTAGGTACCTTCAGGAAGAAGCTACAAGAAACTGATAGGAATTTAAATCTATGTGTTGGATTTTTGACCTATTAAACTACAGTCAAGTTATGATAACCATTGCTATTGATCAGTAAGATGGATTGAGAAAGCCTGGTGTATTACCACTTATTAAATTACATGCTACATTTTTTGGTACTTATTTTACAGTCTACAGCATCTGTTCTTCAGGATAGATTTCCCTTTGTATCATGAGGATTCTCACTCTCTTCGAAAAAGATCAAGCAAAACAGCTTAGCAGAGGATACATTACACTGAAATCTTGGAGGGGTTATGCGATTTTTTGCAGGAAATGACATAGACAAGCATGATAAAGTTTCCACCTCTACTCCTGTGGGGTGTGTCCAGACGAGCGTGCATGTGCCTCTTGCCCCACCTCAAACCCCTTTGAGGCGGGGCAAGAGGCACATGTGGGAACAAAAAAATGTTCCCTGCACTGCAAGTTTGCAGTATGGGGAGAAAATTAGATCCCTAGATATCCAGGGGTCTAAAAAAAAATGAAACAAAAAAAAAGTGTAGCAGGGCACAGGCACCGGAGTGTGGCAACCGGAGGCCGGGTCCTCCAGGGAGACACTCTGGCTACCAGAGCATCTTCACGGTTGGCCCCTCACCCTGGTGCTGAAACATGTGGCCGGCCAGGCCGCATGTTCAGCACCAGGGCTCCAGTGATAGTGAGTAAAGGGTTGGGGGGGCTGAAGGAGGGGGGAGGTGACCATGAGGTGAACCCCCACCGGCCCTGCCTGCTCCCCCAGCCCCCCCGATCCCTGCTTTGCCCAGCCCCTCCCCC